CAATGATGCAACAAATTTACATAGTAGCTAAATTAGCTACATCATGATGTAACAAATTCATTGTAAACATATTATATAATGACATTATATAATGAATATATATTTACGCTGAATGTACATATTTCCTATGCAATGTAACTATTTACTACATGAAGTAATCAACAACTTTGTAAGTTGAATTAACTCATCATGAAATCATGCACACTATTTTCTCATTATTGCAGTTTACAGAAAGTGTTGTTCCTGGAACAAAATGAAACTTATTATAACAAAGATAACTGGCCACCTGAATCAGAAAGAAGGTTTGTATTTATAATGTGAAGTTTGAGTGTCTGCGGTTTAATTTGTACTTATTATTCAACTTACATAAACAATCACAAAAAGTCTCAATGAAAAATCTTTTTTACATAAGGTTGCCATCTGTAAGGATGTTCTTTTGGAAAATATGTGAAAAATGTTGGACCAAAATTTTAACTGGAAAATTATATTATATATAAGAATTAAGTGCTGGCTTGCCTATACATTTTTTTGTTTTGGTTTGTTGCTGCCGTTGTTAGAAATGGCAAAGCTGTCACAGTTTCACTATGTTTTTATTTTATTTAGGAAATTGAGCTGCTGTACATGAAATGTAGAGAATGAAACTACAGATACCTTCATCTGTGATGCGTTTATTTAAGGGCAGTAGGCACAGGTGATTTGCTCAGTCCAAATAAAATGCATAGTGTCATCAGATAGCCACAGTTTGTCTATAGAAGAACTGTGGTTGAGATGAAAATTATTGAAAAATGAAAAAAAAATTTGGCTAAAATAATTTATTAGTAATATTGCAGCCATAGGTACAGTGCTGTCTTCTTAGACTCTAGAGTAAGACTCAAAAACTATTTGGCATAAGGGGGGACTCATCCCAAAACCAACCATGCAAAAGATACAGAAAACAGCTTGCGAATGCTTAACTAAGTGGTCCCAGAGCAAGCCCCCTAGACGGAAAGAAAAGCCCACTCAAGTGTCGGGCAACTACCAATGAAATAACAATGCAGATATTAGAGCAGTCTGGGCTGCACGTGAAGTTAGTAATTAAATGGAGGTGTTTGTCATTTAGCACATATGTGACCAACAATTTTTCTTTCAATATGCGTACGATTTTTGACTTTGACCTTGCCTTTGGCGGCATGGTACATCATGCTTGACCATGTTGAAACACGAGTTGAGCAGGGTACGAAACATATTCGAATAAAAAAGGCCATTGTGTATTTATTTTCAAACAAAATATTATTCGTTCCTGGTTTTATACTAACATTAGCCTCACAATTAATCAAGCAAATATACTTTGATTTTCTTCACAATTCTGGTTATTAGCCAGCCACCTGACAGCCTAATTTAAGACATTAACTACTTTATCCTACCAACATGAAAATAATAATATCCAAACATTTTGACCACAGTCAGTTCACAATGGTAGATTGGTCACAAGAATATTTCCGAACGCCACAAATATTACTTTCATTTATTCTTGAATGTTATTTAAACAAGTATGATTTTCTGTTTAATAACAGAAATATAATAACATATATTTGGAATGCGAGTGTATTATAAATAACAAAATCAAATCAAAGCATCAACAATAATTAACATTTTTGTTTATTTGTTTATCTTAATTTTCTGCTGTGTAATTACTCCATGTATTCAAAATATGATTCTCCATCATTGCTGTGTTAAATTTAGTGCATTCATCAACTATGCTGGAGTTGTGCTTTATACCTACAACGCCCAGAGTACGGTTTACAAGTTTGATTACTGGTTTGATCAAGCAACTTTACCAACATGTTGATGGAAATACTGCTTTATGTCTGTAATTTACAAACCATTATCAAAAATTGCTGAACGATTAAGGCCAATTTATTTGGCGTACAATTCAGCAGGTACGCGTTTTAAACGAAAATGGAATGTGCTGTGTCATACCCCGTCTATTTATTGAATGCTGTGCAGCCAAAAACAA